GATTATGACAATTGTCACTTTTCTATGGTACATCTTCACTAAATTTTTATTTAAACATGTTTTTAATACTTATTTTAACATATTTTCTTCAATAAAATTCAAAAAACTTATAAAATAACGATTATGACAATTGTCACTTTTCTATGGTACATCTTCACTAAATTTTTATTTAAACATCTTTTTAATACTTATTTTAACATCTTTTCGTCAAAAAAATTTTAAAAATAGGGATTATGACAATTGTCACTTTTCATTGTCTTCACTAAATTTATATTTAAACATCTTATTAATTCTTATTTTAACATATTTTCGTCAAAAAAATTCAAAAACTTTAAAAATAACGATTATGACAATGTCAATTTTCTATGGTACATCTTCACTATATTTTATTTAAACATGTTATCAATACTTATTTTAACATATTTTCGTCAAAAAAATTCAAAAAACTTTAAAAATAACGATTATGACAATGTCAATTTTCTATGGTACATCTTCACTAAATTTTATTTAAACATGTTATCAATACTTATTTTAACATATTTTCTTCAAAAAAATTCAAAAAACTTATAAAATAACGATTATGACAATTGTCACTTTTCTATGGTACATCTTCACTAAATTTTTATTTAAACATCTTTTTAATACTTATTTTAACATATTTTCGTCAAAAAAATTTAAAAATAAGGATTATGACAATTGTCACTTTTCATTGTCTTTACTAAATTTATATTTAAACATCTTATTAATACTTATTTTAACATATTTTCGTCAAAAAACTTTAAAAATAACGATTATGACAATGTCAATTTTCTATAATACATCTTCACTAAATTTTATTTAAACATGTTACAAATACTTATTTTAACATATTTTCTTCAAAAAACTTATAAAATAACGATTATGACAATTGTCACTTTTCTATGGTACATCTTCACTAAATTTTTATTTAAACATCTTTTTAATACTTATTTTAACATCTTTTCGTCAAAAAAATTTTAAAAATAGGGATTATGACAATTGTCACTTTTCATTGTCTTCACTAAATTTATATTTAAACATCTTATTAATTCTTATTTTAACATATTTTCTTCAAAAAAATTCAAAAAACTTATAAAATAACGATTATGACAATTGTCACTTTTCTATGGTACATCTTCACTAAATTTTTATTTAAACATGTTTTTAATACTTATTTTAACATATTTTCTTCAATAAAATTCAAAAAACTTATAAAATAACGATTATTACAATTGTCACTTTTCTATGGTACATCTTCACTAAATTTTTATTTAAACATGTTTTTAATACATATTTTTACATATTTTCTTCAAAAAACTTATAAAATAACGATTATGACAATTGTCACTTTTCTATGGTACATCTTCACTAAATTTTTATTTAAACATCTTATTAATACTTATTTTAACATATTTTCTTCAAAAAACTTATAAAATAACGATTATGACAATTGTCAATTTTCTATGGTACATCTTCACTAAATTTTTATTTAAACATGTTATTAAAACTTATTTTAACATATTGTCAAAAAAATTCAAAAAACTTTAAAAATAACGATTATGACAATTGTCACTTTTCTTTGGTACATCTTCACTAAATTTATATTTACACATGTTATTAATACTTATTTTAACCTATTTTCTTCAAAAAAATTCAAAAAACTTATAAAATAACCATTATGACAATTGTCACATTAAAATATTATCCTTAAAAAGATCATATAAAATCATCAAAAAAGTTTCATAAAATCCACCTCATTTAATAATAAATAGATAATTTTAAAAAAATGATAATAGATTTCACCTAAAAGATTGTTTATTTAACTAATAAAATTTACAATATAATTCCTCAATAAAAGATGTATTTACAAAGAAGATTGTGAAAATCACTAATAAATTATATTAAAGAATATTACATTTTTACTATATAGCAGCATATTATTTTTTTTATTAAAAAAACATCAAATAAATAAATTTATTTTCATTTCAAAATATAATAATATAAATAAAAAATATTAAATCATATCATGTTTATTTGTTGATAATATTAAAATATTTACATTAAATATAAATAAAATAAATTATTTTACTAAAATAAATAAATAATAATTAATACTAAGCATCGATGCAAAATTTTGACTAATTTAATTTTAGCAGATTTATATTTTCTTAGCTGATTTTTAGGCTTAACCTAATTAGGCTTAGCCGATTTTTTAGGCTTAGCCGATTTTAGGCTTAGCCGATTTTAGGCTTAGCCGATTTTTAAGCTTAAGCTTAGGCGTAGTTTTTAGCCGATTACTCAACACTAGGTTTGAGTAGTCCAAGGAATTGTGAAATGAATATCAGGAATATTAGATTCGAGAATGCTTGATGTTGCAATATTATCATGATATGATGTAGATGGAACAGATGACTCTGTCACAGAATTCAAGAGAGAACTGTGGGGGATTGTTAGGAGAGGAATAGAGGGGACTGAGCCACAAAGAGGGCATCTTTGTCCATTCACACTATGGACCCTTAAACGGGCATTCACTAGTATTAAAATAGAGTTTCTACATTGAGAACTTAAACTTCTATCCAACATAATATGCGGTACCATTGGGTATTACAATCTGATGATCATCTATTTATATTTTTATTATACAATCAGAAAATAAAAACTGGTCACCAACTTCTTTGAATACAAGCATATGTTGTTGCATAAGGATCTATATTAATTTCATTAATACTGATTATACACACAAGAATGACATTTATGTATTAAGAAAGTTTCATTAAAATTATTAATATTGTAATGTAGTTAATTAATGTTAAGTTATTTCTTTCATATTGACTATATAAGGATGATATATAAAATTCTATATATTAATGTTGGAATGTAGTTGCATAAATGTTAGGTTACTTCTTTCAATAATATTGATCACATAATTTTTATTACATCTCATCTTCAGGTTTGCTTAGTTAAACTAGTTCTATTGTATTCTCAATGCATACTGCTGTAAAACTGAACCCATTTTTTTCCTTTATTTTATTGAATATCTATAATATATATAAAAGCCTTGTCACGCTGTGACAGTCACACTTTCACAATTTATAATATATTTAAAAAATCGTTAATTTTAAAAGTGTCTGTGGCCCAATTGGTAAGAGCGCCGTTTACAAATATATTAGACTTAGGTTCGAATCCCACCAAAAAAAAATTTTCTTAATCTGGCAAAATATTTTTTTTTCTTAATCTGACAAAATTAATCAAATAGATACGATTCAAAGTTAGCTACTTTAAAATTCAAAGTATTAAATAGGTATTCTTATATTTAAATGTTTTATATTCTTTTAAAAAATATTCGTTCAATAAAAATCACCATAGAATCTTATCTTATCAATCATTTATTCATCTTCCATTACCATAAAACCATTACCATCTTATACATCATCATATATATATATATACACTAGAACTAATTGATATATCTATAATATCTATAAAAGCCGTCACACTCTCAGTGTCAGAGTCACATCACAAAAATCGTGAATTTTGAAAAGTGTCTATGGCCTAATAGGTAAGATCTGATAGACTTAGGTTCGAATCTCAGCAATGATTATTTTTTTTTCTTAATCCAACTTGGTGGTTCCGTCCTTTAAGATGTTAACTAAATTCCCATTGGACCTGAAAATGTTGTCATTTGCAGACCTCTTGCGGTAAATGCATGGGAAAATAAAAGTGGCAGACGCATATCATTTATAAATGGATTCTTTGGCAGAGGTAAATTTCATTATTTTTCTCTGAATGAATAGTAGTCTATCCAAAATCACATTTATATTTTTATTTTATAATTAATATAACAAATAAACATGAAATCGGCTCAGGAGTCAGGTCCTCAAGTCGAAGTTGAATTTTTCGACTAGAAACTAGGCGCGGCTAAACTGTGTGGAGTTAGCCGTCTGGCATCACTAGTCCCTTCCTCGGCAACATCTATGCTAACTATAAAAAAGTTTTTACTAGAAAACGGAGTTTATATAAAAAGAAATAATATTTACCAAAAAAAATCAGGTTTTTGCAAAAAACAGGGTTTATGACAGATAAACGGGGGTTATCACCAAAAAAAACGGGATATGCCACGACTCGAGTTGTTAGTTTAATGTTAAAATATTAAATATTTGAAGATTAAAAAAAAAGAACAATTACTAAAAATAGAATTTAAATTTAATAATTCAATATAATTATTCAATAATACTAGTTTAAACTACTCGTTCTAACTCGATTTAGTCAATTTAAAACACTACTAATTATTAATAATATAATAATTGAAAAAAAAAGAATTTAGAGATATTAGCCTCATGTCTCTAAATTAAAAAAAATAAAACACCAAATATATGAGTAGCTACAGAAAACTAGATTAAATACATGTACTTAGTGTTGTTAAACGGCTCGTTTTGAGCCGATTTTTTAAAACGGCTAACACAATATTTTAGCCAAAAAATATCGCCTAAACCTCGAGATTTCGATAATATATGTCTAAATATTTCATAAAAAAATTATAAATTGTTATTTAGGATAAGAAAGTAAAAGAATTGTTAAAAATGACAGGGAAAATAAAGCATTTTTAAAACGACAAATAAAATGATCAAAAATTTGAGAAAAGATAAGAAAGATAAATAGAGAGAGATCTCTAAAGTTAGAAATAAAATTAAATAGAAAATATAATTAAGCTAAAAATTTATAAGAAAAAAATTATAAATTTTTTAAAAATTTTTTAAAAAAATAACGATTTTTGATTGACACTTTTCCTTATTTGTTTGACATTTTTCCTTTTTTGATTGGACTTTTTCCTTTTTTTATTGACCTTTTTCTTTTTTGGATCGCTTTTCCTTTTTTGAATGAAAAATCCTGTGTTTAATTAAGAATTTTGTACTTAATTTTCCCTTCAACCTTGTTGATATATTTACTTTTAATTTTTTTTACTAATTTCTTATTTATAATAGGTGGTTGGATCAGCAAATATTGACGAGGTTTTCCGGGGGGTAAGGAGAAATATCCCTTCATCTATAAATAATTTCCATACCGTAACCTTTTTCCAAAATTTTCTGGAAAATTCAACATCCATTCTCAACGAAATAACCTTGGTGCCTAGCAATCAATCATTGAACGAAGGCGCAACTGATAGTCTTATTAAGAAATATACCCTGGAATATAGATTCAAACGGGTAAAATACGATTTTTTTTATAAAGGATAATAGAAATTATTATTATTTTTGATATTCTATAATTAAAGAATATATATAAATTTAAAAATATTTTTTTGCAATTGTAATCTTATTTTTTATCTGTTGTATTCAGAGGCCTGCGGGGAGAGGGTTAATCTGAAAAATTTGGGCCATGCCAGAGTTAAAAAAAACAAATCCGGGGTGGGCCAATTAAAAACAATTAATTTAAACCATATCAATTAATCAAGAAAATAATTTAATGGATCGGGATGTAAAAATAAGAATCAATTTGATTTAATTCAGTAAAAAATATATATTGATTTAAATTAATTTTTTGAAAATTATATTCTAAATAGAAAATTATATCGATTAAATTTTTTTCACCAATTTTTTTTAACAATTTCATCGCTATTATTTATTTTTTATTGTTGAATAATATCTTGGTTTTAGATTATTTAATTTTATAACTTTAACAATGATACTGGAAAATGTGATAATACTATAATTAATTATATTAAAAGATTTATCAAACGTAAAGAAATTCAGCTGATATAGCGTTGCTAAACAGCTCGTTTTGAGCCGATTTTTAAAAATGTCGACAAGCTTCGAGATTTTGTTAATAGTTGTCTAAACCTTTGTGCCATCTATGAGCAAAATATTCAGGCTTCGTAATAGTTTCCTGGATAAATATTGAATTAGCCATTTTTAAAAATAGGTTCAAATTGAGCCGTTCGTTTATATTTGATAATATATTATTTCAACATCATCATTCTCATTTCTAGATCCTGACATTTTGCACAGTACCTGTTTGATTCTTCTTTCCTTTAATTCTCATTAACCCTTAGCTTACCAGACAAAAAATGTAACATCACTTACCACAAGGACTCAATGGATCTTTAAAATAATGGACTCTATACTCATTCTAATTTGCAGAGTTGTTAAAGTATCTAGATACTTTAAAAGCAGGTCGGTATATTCATTTTAGAAAAGGGATGATTTCCGACCCACTGATATTGACTAATTAAAATTCTTAAACAGTTTGCACATAACGAATTTTTGTTTTACAACAGCTTTTCATTTAAAAAAATATCAAATTAGCTCATGACTATCAATATATTATTTTTCAATAATTTCCCGACCGGATCTCCTTAAACATTAACCATTTTTTTTATAACCATATTTTTCATGGTTTTAATGAGAATATTTATGTTATTATATGATAATAGATTTGAATATAATTTCGTTTTTAATCCTTTATTATTTTTTTCTCCCTCCTTCATTTTGTTGTATATACATTTTAAGTACAGGTTCAGAATCAGAAATAAGTTTAATAAGGCCCATCATATTGCCTTCTTGTTGCCTGTTCCCCCAGAAGGCTAGTTACTAGATATTAAATAACTTAGACATCTTATTATTTTCATGATCATTATCAGAGTCAGATACTATATTTTATACGTTATTATTAGTACACTTTTAAAAATAATCATTGAATTCCTTTTTTTTACTTCTTTTTTCTTAAATTGCGATTTATTACCCTTATTAAATGAGTATAAACAACTAAATATTTAATAAAAAATTACTTTGCTATTTGTCTATAATATTCTTAAAAGCTACTATTTCAAAGCTTTTCTTTATATCATTAAAATTAAGCCCAACATGTCTTTTTCTAATGTGGTCTGTCCATTTATCATCTCTTATAATGTGCAATTTTTAATTAAGCATTTTGGAAAAATAATTTATGACAAGAAATCTCGGAAAACAACCTATTTTACTAAACATCTACCAAATTTTCCGTCAATACATATTAAATTAAATAATTACTGGGGGGGGGGGGTCCTTTTATTACATACATAAACCAGAAATCAATTGGTTATGGATGGTTGTAGCAAAAAAATAAAAGAATTAAATTTAAAAAAACAAATTTTTTAAAAATAAGTACCCCACTCAAATTTTTAGAAACAGTTACTTCGGACACCCCCCCCCCCTATCGTTACAGGGGTCTCTGCTTTTGCAGATCTCTAGTAAGTTATTACTAGTATATTGCTAAAATTTTAATTATATCCGAATTGTTTTAAAGATTATTATTAATCACATTTGATTGATAAGTGTCAGTCAAATTTTTATAAGCTTTAGTAAATTGCCATTTTACAACATTTTTTAAATATTTTAAGCTTAAAAATTAAGATGCCTAGAGAAAAATTATATCCAATATATAAATTATTTACATATAGTATTATAAATGACACATTAAATCTTATATCATACTGGCAATGCTGGCTACCCAAGTTAATGTGGAAAGATTTTTTTCAACAATTAAATTTATATTATCTCCTTATAGATGTAATTTGAGTGAGACGAATTTTGAAAATATATTAATTGTGCCGAATAAAAAAAATGTAAGTAATTGTTCATAAAACATTAATCATAAGATTAAAAATGACCAGATTGAAAAGGTTAAAAATGTATGCAAAAGATTAAAATGTATAAATTATAAAAAGAATATTATATCTGTATGTATTATGAAAAAAAACGTAAATTGTTAAAAAAATGGACCTAAATTTATAAATTGAAGAAAAATAAATTGAGAGAAGATATAGTAAAAAATAAAAGTAAAGAAAATCGCAAAAGGTTAGAAATAAATTGAGAAAAAAAACGTAAGAAATGGCAAAAATTTAGAAATAAATTAAAAAGGAATAACTAAAATAAATAAAAGTTTAAGAAAAATTGACAAAAAATTAAAAAATATTATGATTTTCATTTTTTGAATGGGAAACCCTATATCAAGGGTACATCTTCACTAAAATTTTATTTAAACATGTTAGCAATGCTTATTTTAGCCCATTTACGTCAAAAAAATTCGAAAAACTTTAAAAACAACGATTATGACAATTGTCACTTATCTAGGGTACATCTTCACTAAAATTTTATTTAAACATGTTAGCAATGCTTATTTTAGCCCATTTACATCAAAAAAATTCGATGAACTTTAAAAACAACGATTATGACAATTGTCACTTATCGAGGGTACATCTTCACTAAAATTTTATTTAAACATGTTAGCAATACTTATTTTAGCCCATTTTTGCCAAAAAAATACGAAAAACTTTAAAAACAATATATTCTTATTATAATTTTGTTCACATTAATCAGTTTCAAAAATTTAGCAATTTACCAGATTTTATAAAAAAACAAAAAAATTGAGCAGACCCAACGAGTCAAAAATGAGTCAGCTTATTCGGCTCCTTGATCGGCTTGAGTCGGAGCCTTTTTTTACGACTACGACTCCAGTCGCAAGTCGTAAGAACTCGACTTTTTAACAACACTAATCACGAGAACACAAAATACGTAATCAACATCTTTATAATTCTAATTTCATCAACAAAAAATGTCAATACCCCTATTTTTATCATTCTTTCGAACAAATCTAATTTAAAATGATATTAAAAAAAATTTTTTTTCATTAAACTTATAATTTATTCATTAAAAGTAAGCGGAATATATTATTATTTTAAAAAGTTCTAAATAAATTTGTTTACTTAAAATAATTTTTTACATCATTGGTAGTTTTTAATAAATTAATAGGCGTCATGGCTAATCAATGATTTATATATTCTTTTACATATATATCCTTCACAATCTTGAACTGATATCTATAGATTTAAAAGAATAATATTTAATGAATATTTATATTTTTTAAATATAAGTTTTAATATTAATTTTATTATATTAGTCATAATATTTTTTTAAGATATATTTATTTATAAAATAAAAACGTAAATAATAGTATATCAAAATTTATCTTGAAAAGCATCTAAAAACAGATACTTGTTAAAAAGTATATCTATATACAGATGCAACACTATCTAGACACTTTTACAAATCTGATTTAATATATTGAATTCGTTCCTAAAATTCTCATTTTTTTCAAACAGTAAATTCACGTTGCAATCTATTCAATCTTAATACATTTACTTCTAGAATACCTAAGAAGTGTACTTTCTTAGTTAAATCATTAACGATAAAATTTATACTATCTGTCTTATAAAATTAAATGCTTCAGGTATTACATATCCTTTAACATCCATATTTCACGAGGAATATATTAATCATGTTGCCCTTAAATTTTTATTAATTAGTGATACACCATCTAAAACGAAACGCCTAAACGAAAAAAGATATTTTATTTAAAGAAATTTAAAAAGATATATTGACTATAGACTTATCAACGATTAAAAAACGATTATTAAAATAATTATCAATATTGCAACCCTTATTTTAATAAGTTTATGTTTTTAATTTTAACCTTAAATATTTCTTATATTCTCATAAAAAAATTTTTTATTCCATTTAAATCACATATAAATTATAAGATATAACATTTTTCAAAAATATACAATATAAAAATAATTAATTATTGTTTAAAATATAAAATTAATTATATATACATTAATCAATTTTTATAATAATATATAAAGGAAAAATAAAATATTAAAAAAATTTTTGATGAAGCATTTTGGTTTGGGTCCGCTAGTATTACTATTAAAATAGATTTAAAAAGCAAATAATCTAAAATGGCCCTTATAAATTTTAAGCGAGAGAATTTATAATGGAATTAAAACATGGTAATCAAAATATTGCAATTTAACCATTCCTGATATACATAAGTTTCATAAATACCTGGCTTTCTTATTAGATATTTGAGTCTCTAATTTAATTTATTATAAAAAATCTTATATCAGTATGATGGGCAAATTTTATTTAAATGATATGATTGTTTTATTTTGAAAAGTATGTGAAACCAATGATATTTGATAAATATTTTTTAGCTTTAAGTTTCATTGATAACAATTCCTCTTATATATTAATATTATAAATTCTACTCCACTTTCCATTTTCATAACATTAAATCATTTATTAAAATTAAAACATAATATAAACTTACAATGACATTTGCAAATATATTAAATCTTATAATATCGGGGTTGTGCATTTGACCGGTC